TAGGGTAGATTTAGCTGTTTAAGTGTCTAAATAATTGTTTTCAGGTATACTATATAGTGATTTTTTGGGAGGAATCATAGTATGATTACTGATTAGTATCCTCACATAACACATAACACTGAGTCACTAGAAGAAAAAATGATCTACATGTTTCAAAACCAAGCTTATTGCTTTTGAAATAAAGTATTCTATCTATATCTATATATAGAAAGCGGGAAGAGATAGGGACACCCGCAATTATTACCGAGCAACTCAGATTCTTTATCAGCACTACGCCAGATAGTGCAACAGCACTCTAGAAATTTATTTAAAGATACTATACATCATTATTGTTATAAAGAGATCATCTTTCATCATGTTGACTATTATTAAACCTTTCCAAAAAACCTTTACATTCTCGTACACAGAGTCCTTGTTTTGAATCCGTTTTTTTCTATTTCGAGTCCGGGTTTTCAAAAGTCAAGTCCGGGTTTTCTTAAACACGAGTCCGGATTTTATTCGAGTCCGGGTCCGGGTTTTTCTCGAGTCCGGATTTTCTTCGAGTCCGAGTCCGGGTCCGAGTCCGGGTTTCGAAGTATGCCCGATACAACTATCTCCTCGTCATGCATCATCAGATTAAATTGAACTTAGACTGTCATTTGAATATAATTAGACGGCAAACATCAGATAAAATACTTGAGCACACAAAATTTGAAATGACATGTTCAAAGATAAAACACATCTACAGTAGCCATAGGTAGCGTCTTAGCGCGCACAATTACCTAGTGATTACGATGAAGAAGTCATATTAACGGAATTATGCCACAACTCCCCTGTTGGGCGCTTTGGGCCTGTGTCCTCCTGTCATTATGTTTTGTCAGCCAAACGTCTCGAAGTGATGACGGTGATGTATCCTTAGGCTTAGGAATGGAAAATAATTTACGGTTACGTCCAGAAGAAGCAGCTGACCATAAAGATGCAAGTACCGTGATTAATAAGCGGTTTTACCAACTGAAACTTCGCAATGTACGATCAGTAACAAATAGTAGCACTACAGAGAATAACACAGGTATTGGTAGCGTTATACATCAGAACATAACTCTGAAACTATCATCGCCTGTGCTAAGGATTTTCACAGCACCTCCGATACAAACAGGCGAAACAGCCAAATTATCGGAAAGTACTATCTTACCACCAACCTTAATTCCTCGCACAATACTGAGAAGAAACCCCCCTGGGCCAGAAATCAACTGTGGTAACAAAGTGTATTCGTGTTCAAATAAATGCAAGGAAAAGACTACACATATTGTATTCTCAAGCTTCAAACAACCAGCTGTCTCTGATTGCTATTGCGATAAGGCCTGTAATGATGTATTTGAGGACTGCTGTAGTGATTACAAACAGTCGTGTTCAATGAATTCGAAATTAACAGATAGTGATGATTTCTACAAACAGAAGAGTAATTGGCGTTGCATAACCATGAAAGTAAATGCAGGGAAGTGCTCGAGACCAAAAGGATCGTGGATGGTAGCACGATGTCCAAATTCTTGGCCAAATGATGAGGTCAAAACAAAATGTCACAATCCTGCCTTGGCACTAGATGCTCATTCCCTCCTCCTATATTTACCCGTCGTTGGTCTCCCTGATTTACTTACGTATAGAAACCAATATTGCGCACTTTGCAATAATGTGTCAACATATGAATTTTGGACTTTGATATTTAAAGTAGAAGCAATACCCCCTCCGTATTATACCCCAGATAATTTTGTGGAGTTTATTGCGAGGAATTATCAGCTTTTAGATGGCATTCGACCAAACGAAGGTCAGCGTATCCGTTGGTGTACTTACCCAGATGTATTAAATACTTGTCTTAATACAACATCTGAACAAGGCATGAAAGATTGTGTGCAAGGAACTGTGGGTTTGGTAAAGGAAATACATTCGAACATGGTGTTCAAAAATAAAGCTTGTGCTTTGTGTAATGGATATAGCATGATATGTGGGGTGTCTGAAAAAACAGTCGATCCTTGTAGTATAAGTGGCTCTGCAATAAGCCGTGCTATAAGCTTGCGTGATTATGGTGTATCCAAGACAACCAAATCATGCAGGAAAAGTGAAGTTTACGATACTTTCTTAGGGAAATGTCGTCAGACCTACATCATCAATAAACTAAACTCGGGCTCTGCGGATGAATACCAAGTGACTATGTCAGTCTTATTGACAAAAAGTAATGAAGTTTTTGTTGATCATATTCAACTGGAAAAGTCGCTTTCTGATTACCTTAAAGTGAACAAATCACAAATAAATGATATAAAATCTACTAAGACCATTGCACTAGCTGATAGCCCGGAGACATTTCTCAAATTCAAAATACAGTTGACACAGGCGCAAAGCCTGATTTTAGCATCGGATGTAAACTTAAATGGAAGTTCAAATGAAACAACTACATTACGTCGTCTATTTAGATTTAGCGAAGCTTTTCAACTACATGTTGGTTTTCAAACGTTCACAATTTACCGTCAGAAAATTCGGCAAATTAATTGTACCCGTCCACATGTCTACCAGTATGGAGAATATGTTTTTCTGGATGATTTAAAGATTCGTATTTTATCTACTGGTGCTGTCTACGAGCAGTTTGAATACTACATGAACAGCACCATGATAAATGCACCAGTAACAGTATGCTTGAAAATTGTATCACGTCAATGTAATGGAACTTATATTAAACTGAATTCCTCGGAATTTCACTTTACCAACAATTTAACACTAGTGTACAATTCACTTGTGTATAAGTTTGGTGATTATATTTACGACAACGGTATGGTGTATATATGTGTGAACTTTGAGAGAGAATATACAACCAACACTGGCAACAATACACCTAAAGATGACTTAGCATTGGTAATATTGACCTGGATTGGGTTTATCGTCTCTATAATTGGTTTACTGATTCTTTTCTTCACTTATATCGTCTTTAAAGAACTAAGAACTTTGCCAGGAAAGAATCTTATGAATTTGTCCATCTCCTTATGTTTAGCTGAAATATTCTGGCTCGTTGGCTCTACACTTGATAATTATCCCACAGCATGCACTGTTGTTGCAATAGCAAATCATTATTTCTTTCTGGTTTTCTTCACAGCAAGTTCAGTAATTGCATTTCATTCATGTTTGGTATTTGGACGCAAGATGACTATTCGTCGCACTCCATCTGAAGACAACAAGATATGTGTTATCTACTTTCTAGTTGTCTGGGGAATGCCAGGTCTTTTTCTCCTCATATTCGGTTTACTAGATCACTACGGAGTGTTCATTGTAGACTATGGTAAATCAGTCGTATGTTGGCTTGGCACAAAGGAATCAACGATTTTTCTATTTATCCTTCCATTCGGCATGTTGCTATTATTCAACCTTATTCTCTTCATCATCGTAGCTTTACGTCTTCGTGAGAATCAAAAATCCAGCGCCAAAGCCCTTGGAAAGGAAGCAAAGAAACGTCAAATGCAGAACGTCAAAGTTTGCCTCAAATTATCAACTTTGATGGGATTCACATGGTTGTTTGGACTGCTCCAGGTTGCCGTGGAAACGGAAACTGGCGCTTTTGAGTATCTGTTTATTATTTTCGTCAGTTTCCAAGGTTTGTTTATCTGTGCAGCGTTTCTATTTCAAAGAAAGTGTTATGAACTCTACAACACCTTAATATTTAGTTCATCCAGAGGCACCAGTACAGGTGCAGAGACGCCGTCAAAAAGTCGTCGTGTAAAGGACACGAAACTCTAAGGTAATTCGTTGACACTATAAGTAGGGTTTATGGATAACTTTCAGTTCACTAACTTGATGTTCTTGGCTGCAAAAAACTTGGAGAATATATACATTGTCAAAACGCATGTATACATTTTGTGGTGCATATATAACATGTGGTTAGAGCGTTTGCACATGACGTCACAGCCGCCGTGTTGGTGTTCCAATTCAAAAGAATTTTAATTAGACTCTTTTGTCTGGAACACCACCCTGGGGAATGAGTGCAAACGCAGGGGCGGATCTAGGATTTTTCGTACGTTAGTCAAAAATTTCGTTGCTGAACATCGAAGGGGGGGTGGGGTTCTTTTAACGGGGGGGGGGGGTCGCAAAGCGAATTAATTTGTATCCAGTTTTACGAAAAAATGTTACGTGAAAATGACTGTTTCGCCCAATTCCGGTCTCGTCAGCATGCCTAGGAAACACATAACTCCATATTTTGTAATTAATTTACATGAATGGTCAAAAGATTTTCAAATATAGCGATGTAGTTTTATAAAACATTTGATTGATTGTTAATTCGCAGGAAGAGAATTTCCACGTTTAATTCACTGCTTCTCGAGTTTTATTCGTAGCAGAAACATGTGCCATGAATAAGTATTCACAATGGCAACATGATGCATTTTACTTTTATAGAATACATGTTGTAGAGATCGTATTACACAAAGCCATGCCACATTGTCATGTGCTTGTAGTTTTAATATACTAGACAACTAGGCATAAATAATACGGTATTCTTAAGTATCTGATCAATATATAAAGCCCACATTCCACAAGAGGCATAAACAAAGTATAAACAAACTGAAACTGCTTGTATTAAGCCGCAGTATTATGTAAATTGACCGAAATATTATGTATAAAATTCCATCTCTTATTACGTACAGACGCGCAACCACTATAGCCTAGAACAGCTATGATGCTATATCAAGTTAAAATAGAATATATTTACCTTAAGGCCGTACAAAACTTATTTCGTTTTCTCTCGAACGTACTTCGCGATGTAAGATTCCGCACCATAATTTCGCGGTGCGAGGAAGAAGCTTGTGTTGTTCACAGCGCTCAATAAGTCTTTAGAACGCTTCGATTAAGATATTGTCGATCATCTTTCTCTACAGGAGCCTTTGCGGTTTCGTAAATACCAACAGACATGGCTAGTATTAGTTTAGAACTTCTGATAAATATTCCGATTGCCATAAAACGCACATGCTATACAATCGGCGGGTACGCGTGTAATAATAAGAGACGAAATTTACATAATATTTCAGTCAATTTACATAAATACTGCTGCTAGACTGTGATCAGAAAGATCCAGCAACGTCATAGACCTTCCCGTGCATACTATTAGCCTGAACGGTATGATCGATCAAAAAAATCCAGCCAACGGGAATTGAGGATTTTTTTGAATTAGCCAATAGGATAGCCTGTATTCGAGCCCCTGATCGCTTTAGCGATCAGAACTCCCCACAGATCGCGCAAAAATCTTGATAGCCAATCAGATGGCTGGAATCTGACTCAGAGCGTGCAAAACTCATGCGTAAGACCGCTTTTCTGCGCGTTCATGTTCGAAGGCCTTGCTACTGGATGATATCTTAGAACTGGACTGTTAAACTTTCAATACAATACACTGCGTGAAGTTTGATAACTGGACTGCAATTTTAATTTACAATTTTCTGCCCAATTTTTACCTTAGTCGCGTGATCGCTCTGATCACCCCTAGATCCGCCCCTGTGTTAAAGCATTGACAACTGTTACTTGATTTGAACTGATATTCATACAATTCCTTAAATTGGATGTAATCACGGAAGAAAATAAAGTTGTATAATTAAAAGGTTAAACAGAGTAGTCTAAACTATTCTGCACATTTTGTCAAATTAAAGTCATGCATGACACAAACTGAACATTTCCCAATGAAAATGCTCATATATATATATATATATATATATATATATATATACCAAAATCCAGTATGATCATGAGCATGCTCAATTTACCCAAATCCAGTATACCCACGAGCAAGCCCATATATATACCGGGTGGCGCAAAAAAAAGTACAACTGTTTGATTACTTGTAACTCAGAAACAATAAGCAGTAGAACCATAAATCGAGTTTAATTGCATCCAGCGATATCTAACTTAAATTTTGGTATATTTGACAGGCATATTCGTCCAAGATTAACTGAGATATAACAGTTTAAACTTTTGTTAACAATTTTGAAACGGTCACAAATTAGCTAAAAATCAGTTTAATAGGCCGTTTTTAGCTAATTTGTGACCGTTTCAAATTTGCTAACAAAAGTTTAAACACTCATATCTCAGTCAATCTTGGACGAAAATGCCTGTCGAATATACCAAAATTTAAGTTAGACATCGCTGGATGCAATGAAACGCGATTTTGGGTTCTACTGCTTATGGTCTT